TTGTACGAATTATTTATCATTGCATTGATATCAGATTAATTGGAAACAGTACCTAGAGGAAGATGAATTTTCATTAGCCATTTGCTTGTTTCGTCAAGTTTGCTCCTACAGAGTACATATAAACAACACGTTTGAGGAAATAGTCTGCTGATGATCCTTATATGCACATGCCTCTTTGTATAGCGGTGCATATTTTCTAAGATATCCAGATTCTAGATTTAATATGATTAACTTATAATACATATTATATCCTTTATAAAATTATTTCATATTAATACATATTATGTTCTGTATGCATATTTTTGTATGTTGTTGTATATTATAAATCATATAATTTCTATTCTTAGCGTTAGACTTAGTTATATTAACATTTTTATGCTATCATTATTTTATTAATATTACTATATTAATCATCTAAGCTTTTATATCAGTTTGACTGATTTGTTGTATTCATACCTTTGTGGATATTTTACCCATGGTTTTTTATTGTTTTTATCAATTATTAATATTGTTAATTTTCCGATTTACTTATTTTATATTGAAAGCAAGGCTACTGACTATCCACTTTTATAGATTAGACATATAGTTATAGATATCTCTAGAGTGTTTCCAATAATTTTATGTTTTTGTGCGGCCGAAAATCTAAGCGTTGACGATATCAAAGCCGCCCCATTGTCATGAAATCTTCAAGTGATTGGAGAGCTTGCAAAGGTAAGGCCTTATTCGGAGCAAACAGTTTTCAAGTAAAATTCGGCTGACTATTGTCCTTGGCTTTCAGCTTAGGTTTTCCGTGTTGCTTGTGGTCAGTAGACAATAAATACTAGTAATTTAGTCAATTAATTCACTTACTAGAAGTAAGGATATAATGAGCGGGTGAATAGGGAGAGTTACGGTTTTTTTTATTTGCCAGCCATATATTTCAACGTTGGTGAAAACATCATGGAGGCTATCGCGGGCCATATATTTATATGCAAGGAATAAATAGGAAAATTCTCAAGAGTAAGCCGTACGTAAGGCCAAAAAGTAACCATGGCTGTCGCGAGCTTTTTTGTGTGCAAACGTTTAATCAATAAGTAAGAAAGTTAAGGCGACTACCACGGAAAATCTTTCTTCCACAACGCTCACCACAGTTAAATAGTAGGAAAAAGATGGGCAGACAATGGAGATTCAAATGCGCTTCAGGTTAGAGCGATGTGGTTCAACGGCAAAGACACCCAACTCGGACAGAGTAGCAAGTCATTGCGGTGTTCGGTATTAATAGCTAAAAGTGGTGACAAAGCAACACTATGACCACGTAAGTAGTTTTTCTCTCTCCTTTAAACCTGCAAATTGCCTATAACATGCATATGAAGAGGACTTCATTGGCGCCATAAGTTGTACGAAAACTCAGCGTTACAGTCGTTTAAACCTGGCATTGACCTCAAGAGTGTTACGCAATATGTCTTCGCGGGAAGGACAATTTTAGCGATGGTTTACAGTTTGTAAAAAAATTCTATCTAAAAAAAAATTTAAAACAGTGGAGATATCATAAGGCAGTGTATTCCTTATTTTACGTGGAAAGTTGGGCACGAGAAAGCTGTTTTACATACGTCAACCGCCGTTGGAAAGCTAGTGAAAAAATTCTTAGTCTAAAAAGAAAAGAAGGAAAAGAAAGATTCGTAACGTGAAAAATAGCTCCGGCTTCAGTTGTGACAGTTGAAGCACTTTCGTTAAGTATGTGGTTAGGAAGAATGCGTCTTGAAGCATCTATCACGGCGGAGGCAGGCGGCAGACCGCAAAATTTAGAGCCATCTGTGTATAAAAAATTCCAACCGCCGCTTTCCTGTATTTGGGCTTTCTCACCAATGAGATTCCTGAATAGGTAACTTGGAGTGTCTTCTTTCTTGTGCATAGACAGCGAAATGTGGCATGAATAGCCTTTTAAAATTCATGAAGGTTAAGAATAAAAATGGTGCAAAATTTTTACTGGAATGTTTAATTCCTTTGCGACAGACAATAGCCAATTGCTGGTGGTGACTTTCTAATTTTCTTGGCAATAATAGTCTTTTTCACATACTCGCCGATAATAGATCTGTTCGAATTAAATAGCTTCGGGACGATTGTAGCTTTTAATTCCTAAAGTGTATTTTCTAAAGCTGGGAGACCAGCTTCAGTTGTGATGTTGTTGATGAGCGGAAAATTATAGCAACTCGTTCTAATAGTTTGGTAATAGACCAGTTTAAGAATGTTGATATTAGACTTTTAGCTATTACCATTAGTTACCAGATCATAGTCAATCTTGCGCAAAACAACCATTTTGGCAAGATAAACAATAGTATTAATGTGCGCAATGCTTTTCCAAGCTATATATTGTATGTTAAAATGGAATTTTTAACTGAAAATAGTGTGATTTCCAACGATTGGGTTAAAATTATTCATAAGTGTACGGACTTCATTCAAATTATTAACAAGTCCTTTACGTTCCATTGTAGAATTTTAAAAACTTTATTCAATTGTAGTGATAAATTAGTTATGTTGACCTGTCTTTGTCAAAGATGTCGCTATAGGATTTTTGAGTAAACAATATATTCTGGTCAGCCGAAAAATCACAGCTGATATTCAAATGGTTACATACACCTGAAGTACAACTAGAGATTGATTGATAGATAGAGGATTGGATCCGCTACAATTATAATTGATTTAATTGAGTTGAGGGCTGGTGATTTTGGGCATTTAGTTTTTTTAGGTTTTATCATATGCGTTATTCTTTCGATTTTTTCAATATTTGTTTTGAACTTTTCAATGTTATTTTTGGCGGATGATAGATCAGGTTTGCCATTAGCAGGAGTTGGAGTAAGTGGTTGATTAAGACGGATTTGAGAAGCGATGGCAACGTAGGTATTACTTTTATTAGTTCCTTGTGCAGTTGGATTGTTTTCCCAACACTTGCGTCGCGCTTCGCCTAAATTACAGTAATATTTTGTTCTGATTTTCAGAATTTCAGCCATTTACACGTAACGTGGGCATTGTTTATCTAACGCCAAGTGTTGATCATTCCAATTTATGAAGAAATTACGGTTCAGCATGTGTAGAAGGACCACAGTTAGCATGAGATGGTGCGTTATTGCATCTTATTGCAGTATGACCGAGGCGTTGGAATTTTTTGCATTTCATGGGATTTGGGGTGTAGAATCTTGTATAAGGCAATATCAACGGATTATAGTAAACAATAGCGGCCAATAGTGACAATGATCCTTCTTTTAGGGGATTGAGTTTTTCCTTCCTTGTTTGGTGATTTTATAAAGTTCAGTCTCACTTTGACTATTCATTTCGTGAACTATTTCTTCTTTTGGTACACTGAATTGAGTTTGTGGTGTAGTTTTGTGGAAATCGGACATGGTTTGAACTTCAAGATGTCGCAAGCAGACTACAAGCGAGAACAAGTAGATTACCATCGCGAAGAATGGTGATAGAGTCATTATATGACGTTATGCCATCGAGGGATTTTTTATAGTGAAAGGACTAATTTGTGGAATTTTTTTGTCATGTGTTTTTTATTAACCGGAGTGATTTTATCCATTCACCGTAGCAGAATGTCCCAATTTTTTTTTTCTCTTTGGTGATGGTTCGGCCAATAAGTGGAATCTATTGGAGTTTTAATCTGGCGGCCCCATGATCATAATGCCTTTTTGTTGCCATTTTATTGTACAGTCACTTATGAAAAGGAAACCACTCACTTGTAAACTTTTTTTTTTTTAATAAAAAGAAACAAACGCACAAGCACCGCGTTAATTATCTTACCAAAAGACTCAAAAAGCCAAATTCTCAGTCAGACACGGGCCAAACGTAGAAATAAAACCAAGCAATCAGAAAAAAAAGGAATACAGAGGAAAAAATAAACACATACTACCCAGAACAGAAGTCAGAAACGAATGTGAGTGTAGGGCATAAAAACAACGAATTGTTGGAGAAGTATTAGACGGAATACATCGCTTTCGAAGGAGTCTTTGTTGTTGTTGGTCTAGCATAACAGGTATTCCTAACAAAATTGTAATCAAAACATTGTTTTTAATGAATTCCGTTATTATATTCACAAAAACGATATGAAGAAAGATAATAGGTGGTAATATTAAATTTTTTTTTTATATATATAACGGTGTTACGAAGCTAATTTTGGATCGAATTTGTATTTGGGCCTTGTGAATGCCTGAGTTACATATCTTCGTAGGTACCTCCAGGTGCCCGTAAACTAAAAAATTGAAAAAACCTGTCGACATCTTCCTAAATTATATCATTTTTTCTTATGTTATGGACGAACTTGTGAACAAATTGCGATTACGTGTTACCCTGTCTCCATAGCAGATGTGGAAATCTACGCCTCAAATTTCAAATTATACGTGAAAATTTTACAAAGCAAGGGGTCATATTAATGAAAATAAATTTTTGATCGATATCATGAAAACTAAAATAAGTGAAAGAATAGAATATAGATATTTAAAGTTTTTTCATAGCTAAACGCTTTAATAACTCAAAAAAATCACGTTATGTAGTCTTCCGTAAGATTAAAAGATGATATCTACTTTTTCTAAAATAGTGAGGTCAAAATTTATATGAAAAATGAAAGTTAATCTAACGATAGTAAAAACATAGAATTTGTAATTATGGTATAAAAACACAGAAGAGGATATGTGCAACAAATAGCAAATTGGCAGATATACCTAAAACGAATGAGTTATTTAGGCTCACAAATGATGTACACTTCTTTCAAATTTTGAAATCTTGACGCGTTAGAACCATTTTAAAAACATTATGTGTATAATATTGTAACTGCAATACCCTATATTTTGTTTTAATTTTTTTCTTTACGAACTGGTACCTTCATTGCTTTTATACCGTCTAGTAATCCAGACACCTACGACCTGTATACATGTATATTTCTGCTGAATTTCTCATAATTGTAAAAATTACATTCGCCATCAAGTAAACATAAGTTTCCTAAACATTGGTTTTATTTGGCTTAGGTAAATTATCAAGCAGAAGTAAGCCAGATATATCTATAGGCATTGACGCTCGCTCCTTGAGAGAACGTTTTGAAAGAGGCGAAATTCTTAAAGAAAAGTCAATAGACGAAAGTGATAGTCACAGTCACTCTAGGAAACCAGGAGCGACATATCACGAAGCCGACATCTTTGAATGCGGTAAGCATCTGATTTAAGTAAATATAATTCGAATCGTTTTTGGTATTTGGCTTTTCTTCTTGCAGCTATAAGTAAAAAATCGCGCAAAGTTTTTCTTGAAATGGATGCTGATACGGTCGCTAAAAGAGAAACAGCAGCTGCCTCTGATCAAAGTACAAAAAGGAGACCATGTTTACCTAATCTTTGCAATAGCTCCGAACCGGAGGAGGTATGTAGTTGTGCTTGTATTTTATTATAATTATCCTACGATATGTAAATATACCATACATAAATTTTTTTTAACGTCTTCAATGTCTGATAGGGCTGTTGTGTACTTTAGTGAATTGTTTGATCATAATTTGAGTCAATATAATCGTACCCCTAATTGTAATGGTAGACTGCTTGATCTCTGCTTTGCCAATTTTCCCGAGATTAACGTAAATCGTTGTCCACCTTTTAGTTTACCTGAGGATCCTTACCATCCATCAATATGCATTTCCTTTCATCATATTAATGATGGTTTGTTGAAATGCATTAATGTGCCAAATCAAACTTTTTTAAATAATTATTATGATTTTCATAAAATCAATATTGTATTGCTAAAACATCGTCTTTCACATTTTACGCTTGATTTCTCAACTGGTAGTATAGAAAGCTTATTGTCATCGTTCTACAATACATTAAATCTAGCTATTGCTGCATCTGGTCCGATCAAGCAGTGCCGACCTCGAAGCAGGTGTCCCCCTTGGTTTAATAAGACAATTAAATATCGCAAGAGTAGAAAAAACTCGCTATTCAAAAAATATTCGAAAAGTGGCTCTGCGCTCGACTATGTCGCTTACTCGGTGGCGAGGCATAGATTTACCTCCCTCAACCATCATTATTACTGCAGATACCTTCAGTTCATTAAATCCTCTCTGTTTGCTAATCCTAAATTCTTATTTAAATTTGTTAACTCTAAAAGAAAAATTTACACATATCCCTCTCATGTTTCTTTTAATGGCTCTGGTTCCTCGGATGATTTTGAAATCTCAAATCTATTTGCTGAGTATTTCCGGCGAAACTTTTCGATTGCTAATTTCGATTTATTAGCAAACTACCCATATCCTATAACTAACTCGGTTTCAATACCTAACTTGGTTATTTCGGAAGATGATGTTTTCAAAGGGTTGAGTTCTCTAAAATACAGTTGTTCGCCTGGACCTGATGGAGTTCCATCATGTGTACTTAAATCTTGCGCTGTCGAGTTTTGTGGTGTGATCTCAAAGATTTTTAACATGTCCTTGTATTCAGGTGTTTTCCCTTCATGTTGGAAGAGTAGTTTCCTTATTCCTATCCACAAAAGTGGAAGTAGACAATTTGTTGAGAACTACAGGGGCATAGCCAAGTTGAGTGTCTTGCCCAAGTTGTTCGAGCGTATTGTGACTCAGCATTTGGCCTTTGCCATTAATTCGTATATTTCTCCGCACCAGCACGGCTTTCGGAAAGGGCGATCTACAGTCACCAACTTGTTAGAGTTTACTTGTCATGTTTTCAAGGCTTTTTCTAGTGGCTCTCGCACAGATGTTATTTACACTGATTTAAGCAAAGCATTTGATATGCTTAACCATAGACTACTTATCTTTAAACTCCAAGCCTCTGGTTTCCCACCCTACTTAGTGAAATGGATAAGCTCTTATCTGCACAATAGATCCTTCAGAGTTTTGTTTAACTTCATCACCTCGGATGAATTCCCCGTTACGTCTGGCGTACCTCAAGGAAGTCACTTAGGTCCCATTTTATTTAGTATATACATTAACGATCTCCCATCGGTGGTTAATTCCAGCCAGATCTTAATGTATGCTGATGATGTGAAACTGTTTTCTTCCTTCTCTGTTGAATCGCAATCACATCAGCTTCAAGGTGATTTGGATAATTTTGTTGCATGGTGCTCTTTGAATCTCCTGAAACTAAATCTGAGTAAATGTAAGAAGCTTTCATTCTCAAGAAGAAAGTCATTCATTACTCAGTATTTCATAGATTCGCATAAGTTGGAGGACGTCGATTCGATTACAGATTTAGGCGTTCTATTTGACCATAGGTTACGTTTTAACTTGCATATTGAGCTTTCGATTAGCAAAGCTAGGTCCGCGCTTGGTTTTATAAAAAGGTGGTCCAAAGAGCTTGATGATCCCTACATTACGAAAACGCTGTACATGTGTTTGGTTAGACCCATACTCGAGTATGCCTCAGTTGTGTGGTCTCCTTCATATAGGTGCTACGTAGATTCAATGGAATCAGTTCAAAAGCAATTCTTGCTGTTTGCCCTTAGAAATTTGGGTTGGGATCCGATTGCCTCTCTTCCTCCCTATGAAAATAGGTTGGTTCCGCTGTCCTTACCGTCTCTTGAGAAACATAGATTTGTTCTTGGCGTTTCCTTTCTAATCAAAGTAATAAATGGTGCTATTGTCTCGCCTTTATTACTTGGTGAAATAAGCTTTAATGTCCCTAACCGCTTCTCTTGTCACTTTATCTTGGTTAAGCTTAGTCAGTGTAAATTTAATTATGAGCTGTTCAATCCGCTCAGAGTCGTTTGCAAGAACCTAAATGACGTCTACCACTTATTCTCGTTATCGGACTCTTTAAAGTCCATTAAAGCAACATTGCTTAATAGGCGCGATTTACCTATGTCGTATTTAAACTAGCTTTTATCCTTAAAAAGTCGTTACGTTTCGGAAATGAATTATTGTCAATTTATTATCGGTTGCCAGGCTTATGCATGTTTGCGATGGCTTAGGGGTTCATTTGCAATTTGGTCCTGTGCCGGTTGTAAGTGTGCTCCTATGCTGATAGTGTACATGCTTATTTTTCTTTTCCTTTTTTTTTTCTTTTTTTTTGTTTTATTATACTTATACAACGGCGACGACAACAACGAAATCGGAAAAGACAACTCCCACCAACGTTGAGAATTGGACAACAAAGTTTATACAGATTCGCTTTTGTCGACAATAGGGAATAAGTCGGTGCGCCTGCCACAGAACTCAAGAACGGGAGAAACACTCGTAGGTGCTCGTAGTTAGTTCGGTTTGCAGGAATAATGAAATGAATGGTACAGGTTCATTGTATAACTATATTCACATAAGCTTTCTAAGTACTAAGTACTTTCTCCATACATTACCCTAAGTATAAAGCGAATAAAAAAGTCTTTCTGAGCTATGTCCACCTTTTCCACATGGAAGTTATGGGTTGAAGATATTAAGACCGGCGCGTATACAATAATAGACCTAGCAACGCTTTGGGTATTTTCACAAACATTATTTTCCAAGGGCGCTTCTTCCTTCTTTTCATTCATATTCATAGCAGGTATGTTGAATGCCTGTTGGTGACGGTACTCGTTTTTAAGACGTCTTTTGTGCAAGTTTTCAAATAAATATATATTATTTTCTAAGACTTTTGGTAGATAAGATAAATTTTATGCCTAGTTTTTCAATAGAATTGTCTCGTCAATACTTTACTCCGCGCAAAGGCCTCGAATGCATTTTCTGGCTTATTTTTCCTCAAACAAGCTCTAGACAATGTGAGATTGTCTGCCGATGTGTCATATTTTTTTTTTTTAAGTTTTACTTCATTTTACAAGTAAACATGTTAAGCCCAAAAGGCTTCGCTATCTCCACATCTACTAAATGCAAATCCCTTTAACATACGCCTTTCCGTAAGATTATGAACAAGATCATTGGCTAGGTGTTTTATCACATTTTTAAAAGCAACTATTTCCATAAATTTCATAAATACTAACACATACTTTAAGGCTTAAAGTATGTTCGTGTTTTCGCCCGTGTTGTAGCCCGTGGTGTAGGGCGTTAAGTATATGTAACGGTTATTTCGCCTATAATGTGTTGGACGTTTATTGCTGTTATACGCTAGAAAAATATTCTCTACGAATAAGCCAGCAAAGTGGCAAGAAGTTGTGATGGCGGTGGCTCGATGTGGTAATTCTATATTTATTATATTCAAATAAACTTCCACTATAGTGTATAGTAATATAAGTAGTATAAGTGTATAAGTGTAATATTAATAAATCCATGTCTATATTAGTATAAATGGATAAAGTGTCACCCATTTTCAAATAGCAATTTGTGGCGTGTAAGCTGCGTGACAAATTTCCGGCTCTTGATATGTGTTCGAATTTACTGTGGTCAGGAGTGTATCTCAGGCAATTCAATAACATATATTTAACCGTTTGCGTCGAATCTAATCGTCGTGGGTAAAAGTCTGCAGGCTCATGGCGAAGTCGGTGCAAGTAACTGCGAAGACTGCCATACAGGACATAGGTAGAAACATTCGTGATATTACATTTTCAATTCAGTTGACAGATGCAGAGTCTGCTAATAAGTTTCTTCTCCTCTAAAGGTAACTTTCTGGTTATCTGTTTTTTTACTCCATGTCAGTAAACTGAGTAAGGGATTCTTAAATAACTATTCGATATATCTTATAATCAGAGGATTTATCTCAAACAGTTTTCTAGAAATACAGAACTACTGCTGGGCTCTGTTTCCTCTGCCTCTCCATTTGTGGTATTTTTTAATACCACATTCACGTTCAAAGACTACGTTGGCAGGAACTTGTTTCGTTCGTTCTCTTTCAAGAGGAGCTGTGCAAAAAATACGTATACATTATACACAATGCAGAATAAACGCTGTATTATGAATAACGTCTCTACAAAGTATGTAAATGGGGCTTGATATATAAAATTAATATACATGCTTACAAAACGTAGTACTACTCCTATTCCTTCCGCTCGATCAAGGGTTGCTCGCATATTGCACAATACACTGATGCCCAGCTTCGTTTTGTAACCGGATTGAACACCCTTGGAATTGTTTCCCTATGAAGATATTCCCGCTATTCCTGATTCCGTTTTCAAGACAAATATCCACAAAGACTGATTCTATCCTATGATATCGCCTGTATAGTCATTGGCAAATAAATAACAAATGGTATGGGTGAAACGAATATCTTGACGTCGTCGCTTGGTCGTGTTCATATTGATACGTTTCTTGGGATATGTAGCTCCTAGTGCACGCTAAGAAATATTTGAATGCTTAGTTCAATTTTTGTACTTTACACCACTTGCTACACCATGTATGTTAAATTTTATTTTGATAAAAACTCTTCAAAATATTAGTTTTGGGGAAAAAGAAATCCATTATTTTTATGCGAACTTCAGGACTTTATTTAACATGCTTCGGA